ATTGCAATTAGTATCCCAATTATTTTTTAATTTCTTTTCCAATTTTTGCCAGCACCATCACCAATGACACCGACATCAAATAGAGACAAAATCCACATTTGTCAAACTGACTGACATCTTGTTATTCTTGAATTTCATTTATAAAATAATTGGGATGCTACGCGCGCTGTGATTGGTCGAAAACCATTTTTGATGAGAGTATCAAAACACGCTATCGTCATTTTTAATCTATCGCGCGCGCTCATTGGTCAGTTTGAATAAGACGGCACGTAGGGAGRATTTACTTAGACTTTGCTTTTTTTCGATCTTTTCGCGCGTTTGTTATTTTATAAAACAAATCAAAAACAGTTTTCTGTGTTTGATATTCTGATCAAAACACTTGGGATGTTGGGAGAACACTCGAGAAGCTGGAAACTACTCCGCTACGCGTCGTGGTTTCCTACGCTCCTCTTGTGTTCTCCCAACATCCCGCGTGTTTTGATCAGAGTATCAAACACGGAAAACTGTTTTTGATCTGTTAAATATATAATATAACGTTCACTGATGCCTTGTAATTTTTTTTGGTCATTATTAATCATGTATTTGAAGTCTTCATTGGAAAATTATAAAAAAGTAGCTATTCATTAAGATCAAAATAGTCACAATATGATTTCAGAGGGTGTAGAAAAACTAAAAAGAATAAAAAAACAAAAGTGTTTTTTTTTTTTTTGACAAAGTTTACGTCTTCATTTCATAGATCGATCACACCATAACTGAAGGCGCGGTTTGCTTTCAAAAGTAACAGATGGTCTATTACGCTCCTGATGTCGTGTCCTGAAGTAGACCTGTCGTGGAATTATATAAATAAATTATCAATTTTTTTGATGTTAACTTCCGCTTCTTAGCATTAACTTCTGAAATAACCATCCATGAAGGTTGACAGTTACACCAGATGGTGCATAAAGACTTTTTTTCACCATTTGGTAGGGTAACTATAACTATAACTATAACTATAGAGTAATTTTTATCTAGGCCCTTCCAGATCGAATTATAATTTAGAAGATGATTTTTGCGGAGAAAAACCGAAGAAAAACCCTCGAAGCACAGGAGAGAACCAACGAACTCTACTCACATACGACAAGTCCGAGGAGCAATGAATAATGACAATGAGAAAAAGACTGAAGAAAAGCGGGAAAGAAAAATTGGTTTGTTCAAAACATAATGAGCATGTCTTCATTTTATTGATCAACATGATTCAACTTCAGCTACTTTTTAAACCTTGAAGCCTATAGTGGAAGTATTCACGAAGGTGTAGACGACAGATGCGATGACGGCGCATGGAATTGCTATTGAAACGCTTTGAAGTTCTGATCAGTTATCCAAATGAATAGTATAATAGCTGTTGCATTCAAAAAATTGTATTATTTGTTAACAGTGTAAAATGAATCATCTCATATATCATTGATGTAGAAAGATGGGCTGGTGACGCACAAGGGTGTTTAATTGCTAAAGCGCTCCTGGAAATATGCCATACAAATGAAGGTCTTTATAAAATGAAATTACCCTTGGTCTGTAAGCAGCCAAAGATCCAATGTACAAGACCAAAAGCAGAAATTAGAATAACAAAACAAGCAGCTCCTGGATTCGATCGAGGCTAAGCCCGCATACATTGAAGTTTTAAGAGTCGCCAGTTGTATTTATTATAAAATTTTATTTTGTTTCAAATATTTTAAAATATATTTCAATATCATAAAATATTTCCCCCTCTATTAATAAGGAAATAAAAACACATTTCTTTCGTTTACTTTCACGCTGAAGCTTTGACATTTTTGTTTTCCACCAAAAATAACATCTGCTGCAGTTCGATCAGGTCGATAGCTATTTGAACGAAGCTTTACCAGTTTCAGGTTAGAGACCACTATAGTTCAAAACTCAAAATTTGATTATGGAAAACTGTACTCATAGAAACCTTGTTATCCTGGCATCATGCTTGGTGCTACTGTTGAGTATTGTACAAGAGACAAGTCAAGACAAGCAAGGTAAGAACTGCATAAACCAGTCTAGCGGAAATAAAGGGATTATACAATAGATCTATTATATACAATAATAAAATAAACATTTTTATAAAAATAAATGATATATGAAGAGGAGCTACGTCATTTATCGTGAATGATTTTGCGCATTTCGTGACAAAACAAAATATTTAAATAAATATATATATATACAAAATATAGCAAATACTAGCTCCAGACTATTAGAAAATATGAATAAGTTTTAATTTTGAAAGCAAGTCATAGTACTTTGAGCAGAAAAAGAATTTCAAAAGGCATTCTTGTGTTTGAGGTAGGCGAAGAATGTTAGTAAAACATTTCCTTACTAACATAACATAGGCCTTCAAATTAAAGCTTTGTCAAAAATAAGGCCCCTTGATCCCTTGATTTGCAACGGTTTAAAAGCCCTAGGCCTTCCTAGCCAAGGTACCAAATATAAGACCATATAGCTATTTTGAAAATGGAGCTGTAAACTATATACTTAACTAAAGGCCTAATAGACGTTTTCAAATTAAACTATTTTGTAATTTTAGTTTTTGGTATGGACAATAGTGCAGTCTGAATGTTATCTTACACCGTGAACAAAGGGCTATATTTAAACTAGTGAAAAATTGTTGTTGTTGCTTTTAGAGAGATGTCAGATCAGTTCAACTACAACGGCTTTTGTCGGCGTATTACAATATTAAATAGATATTTTGAAACGGAGAATTTTGCCCTAAAATTGTCCCAACGTTACCCATTTCCATCGCTCTCCGAAAATAGGCCCGCCCAAAAGTAAATTGCACAGTTATGAGCCCGGGTATTAATTTCGGAGATTTAAAGCATTCGAAGTAAAGTAGTGATCACGGAAATCATTACCTATAGCGAAAGTCTTGCGCTCTTTCRAAAGCTTAATCTTGATTCACATGCATGGCAATCAGCTCCAAATATATTCAAAGCTGAATCAAGAAGAAATGACAGATTTTGGAAGTTAAACAACAGTTTTAATCTTGTTTTGGATAAAAACAAATTTTAAGAGCCAAAGAAAATGGAACGAACTACCGGATAGTTCACCATCCCTAGCCATCCCTAGCCATCCCTAGCCATCCCTAGCCATCCCTAGCCATCCCTAGCCATCCCTAGCCATCCCTAGCCATCCCTAGCCATNCTAGCCATCCCTAGCCATCCCTAGCCATCCCTAGCCATCCCTAGCCATCCCTAGCCATCCCTAGCCATCCCTAGCCATCCCTAGCCATCCCTAGACATGATCTGTACCTCAGCCTGTGCGTCCCGCGGGATTTCTTGTATAGAGGTTTCCGTATAATGCCTTACCATCTTGAATTTCATAACTTGGACTTTTACTTTCAGTGACCTATCTCCTTGGCAGACCCGCGGAGAACTGCACCTTAGTCTGCGCATCCCGAGGGATGTCCTGTATAGAGATTGGCGCATTCCCGAACAATGCATTATCCATCTTCCACTCTATCAATGTGACTTGTACGACGTCTGAAGAGTTGAGTGGGTATGGCTATCCCGACAGTCCTAACTACATTATTTCTGGGGACTGGGAAGGACAATGCATTGGCTTTAAAGGACTGAATGAAACTGCCCATTCTACCCTTTGTGGTATAGGATACAACCCAGCGGTACGAAGGCTTTGCCCGTGTGGAGAACAAATCTGTAAGTATTAGTAGAATGTTGGACCACAGGCAGCCCAACTGTACCCTGCGAACAGAGGTCATTTTTATAATGATAATAACAACAATAATAACATCAATCAAGCCAACTGTAAGTTCCAGAACATATAGGCAAAAAAGCTAAAAAGCTAAAAAATAATGATGATGATGATGATGATGATAATAATAATCTAAAATGAGGCTAGCCCTGAGTAAATGAGTATGCAATTAAGAATCACAGTGGTATTCAACTTTCCACATAGTTGTAGGGCCAACTCCATCACCAAAACCAACTTCGTCACGAGAGATGTCTGCGAAAGCTACCACACCCGCTGACGATCAATCAACGACACAGACCAATAACACCATCTCTTCGATCCCCACTCCACCCTACACTCTACCGCTTCCTACTACCCACATCACTATTGAAAACATGGGAACCCTGCGTACAGCTGGTCCTCTCACGTTGTTAAGTACTGTACTATGGATTGCACAGTCTAATTGAAGTTATCTAAACGAAGAGTACGTGAAACTGTGTCATTAAAAATGCAAATTATTTGTGAATCATCTCATATATCATTGGTGTAGAAAGATGGGCTGGTGACGCGCAAGGGGGTTTAATTGCTAAAGCACTCCTGGAAATATGCCATATAAATGAAGGTCTTTACAAAATGAAATTACCCTTGGTCTGTAAGCAGCCAAAGATCCAATGTATAAGATCTTTCCCTTTTAGGCAGGGCAGCTCATTTTTGGCCAACTTGCTTTTTATTATCTTCTTCTTCCATCCCTTCCAACCCTCCCCGGCCCCTCCTTTAACTTCCAATATTCACTCCAAAAAGCTGTCTTTTGATAATCTGCTCGACAATCACTTGTATTTACCTACTTCTTTTATTCATTCATGTTTCTACATATCCTTTCAATACAGGTTTATACTACGGCAACATTTCTTAAACATCCACCGCGTCAGAGAAGACGATTTACAAGCACGAAAAAAGGCTGCAAAGTTGACGCAGCAGCGGGTCTCATCTGGTCTCCTCTCCCTATCTCCTTCTACTAGCTACGCAGGTTAACATCAAAATATCTTTGTAAGCTCCATTGACTGGTTTAATACAGGACACACTGCTTTTACCTACTATAGAACCAAACTGATATATATGTACTGCTATTTTCCCCCCCGAAGCATAAGGACAAAATAAACAGGCTAATCGTTTGATAACTGGTTCAACAAACATGAAGGCTTTGCACCCTACTTCATATGAACCTCAAGAATGGACTACTTGGACAATACGGAGGCCATCTTGCCAAGGGGTAAAACAAAACAAAGATGGCGGAAAATATATAGAGTTTCGGAAGTGCAGTGCTATTTCATCTTTTGTTGTATTCTCTTGTGGTGAGCTGTTTATAATATCAATCGACGTCTTTACTGTAACAAAGTGTTAAGCTTTAGATATAGGTTCGTTTTTTTCATTTGCCCCATAATGCCTTGCGATCCAAGATGGCCGCTGCATTGTCGACGTAATCCATTRAAAAAACTCTAGCAGTGATACTTATGTAAGAATATGTAGGGATCTCTAGTCTGCAGAGCTTGTTTTATTGATCCTTGTCTTAGACGCTACTCTGTACAAGTTGAGTGTTTTGATCTAACTACGCAAACTAAAGCAGAGTCAGGTAGACCAGAAGGCCAACTTTCTTTATTCGCCTGTGGCTGTCCGTCGGGATTCCTTACTCTGCCACTGTCCTTACTTAGGTCTGTACCTCCCAGTACAACCCAAACTACAACCTTAGCCTTATTTACAGCTATGTAAAAATTTAATCCGTAGAAATAGCTAAATGGCTCGTTCTTATATAACAATGTTCTCTACTCGAAGATTGAAAAGTAATTGTATACTTTGCCGTATATTATGCTACCACAACAACATGTTATACAACAGACTTTTAGATCCGGTATTTGAAATTACTTGTGTCGGGGTTGCAATTTAAGGTATGTGGCTAATTTAGTAAAAAGGAATTAGGAACCTTTCTGAGACAGTTATTTGATACTTTGATTCTAAAGAAAGGAAATGATGTGTCCCGAGCTCGTTTTCGATAACTCACTGACTGTCTCTTTCTTCCGCTCGCTGTCCAAAAGAACTACTATTCTACTTTGTATTTTCTCAAATGAATAAAAATCTTGCAAGTTGTATACTATTTTTTGTGTTGTTTCTACTCTCCGGCAGACTTGTCAGTGTCTAGGTATCGGCAGTCTTCTCAATCATCACCTTAGCTTATAATGTCTGGGGACGCATTTTCATCTCAGTGAATTTTAGAGATAAATAGGTATAGTCAAAATGATACCAGACGACTCCCGAAGCATTTATTACATTCCCGAGATACCGACCGTTTGGATTTGACCTATGACAATCATTGTACCACCAGGCACCAGTGAAAGTAGTGGCACAGTTCTCGCTTTCTCTAGGATCATTATCCATGTCTTTTGTACTGAACGTCATGTTCTTATGGTGGTCCAGCGAGTCTCCAGCATTACCTGAATACGAACCTACACTCAGCGTATAGTTGTTTGACTCACCATTAACACTAAAACTACCATATTTGGCATACTTCCTTGTTTCTGCCCAGTCCTCCAGCTCCACGCGCAATGTCGAGGGGGTTCTTGCGGTCAGTCGATGGATGTAGTCATTGCCCAGCCAAAACTCGCCATTCAGGTTCCCAAAACCTGTTTTGTACGGCTGCCAGCCAAGATAAAAGTCTACTGATCCATCTTGTCTTCTCTGTAACACTGTCCACCCCCCTCCGTCAGTTGTCATGTCACAGTAGACTTTAAAGATTCCTTGACTGTCTGGTTTGATGGTGTACACTCCGTTACGTCTTTCGCCATTCTTGTAGAGATCTGAACAGTCGACTGGCATTACTAGTAAAAATGTTATCTTATTTCAAATACTCTGTTCTTACATGTTATTAAGTT